ACTTACCTTTCCTCGGACCGTCTGTCCCCAGCCTTTGTCTTCCCCGAGCTTGGCAAGGTTCCAGCCCAGGGTTTTCACCCATCATAGCAGTAGGCAGCGCAAGGCCCAGGTCTATAGCTGTGAGCCCTCCATGATGTGGGATGGAGATGCAGCCAGGGAAGCATGGGCGCAGGGCCCCAGGGAGGCTTCACCAGGATCTCGGAGGCTTGCCACAAGGTGTCAGGCCACACAGCCTGGAGAGGCTTGTGAGCTAACACCAAGAGCTTGAGGTCTTTCGTGGTATAAATAACTCCGCCATGACCAATTTTAGGTTCCTACCTATATAACAACTGGCCCACATATTCCCGAAGCTTAACCGTCAACTCTCCAGAACCGGTAGAAGCTGGCTCCTGCACCCCACTAGGGGAGGGGATTGGACTGGTAGCTCATCCTGGAGCCATCTGGATACAGGCCAGCTCCAACACAGCCTCCAAGCTCTGGCCTGCCAGAGGCTACAAGAAAGTTGGCAATAGACTGCAAACCCTCCATGGATCGGGTTGGCCTTGGGCCTCCAGCACTACTCCTGTGCCCACCTGAGGGCTGCTGGAGCAATGTGGCCCCAGGCTGGCACTCCTGGCATTCCCTCTGCAGGGCTGAGCCCAGGGCAGAGAGGCTGGCGTCGGCAGCTGGATGCAGATGTATAAGCCCCCAGCCATTTAGAGGGAAGGGGCCAGAACTGAAGCTAGACAAATGCCAAATACCCAACAGCCCCTGCCCCTCCCCTCATCTCCGTGGCTGTGACAGTGACAAGGGGCAGAGTGTGTCACGTCGTCCCCCCTCACTGCACTGCCAGCACTTGGGGGTGGAGACCACCGGCAGGTCCTCCTGGAGGCTTTCTGCCAGTCTGCGGACCCAGGGGTTGCTACTGGAGATGTGATGTCACTGCAGGGGTGGGCCTTCAGCAGTCTTGAGTTTGGGAGAAGTAGCACACTCACTTTGGGGCTAGAAGGGCCAAAGCATTGGGACAGTGGATGGCAAGGGCTGGGGAGGGACATGAGCACTTGTTCCAAGAGGGGCTGGAGAAGGTAGGAATCAGAGCTGGGAGGTGTCTCCTGAGGGCCAGGCCTGTGCTGCTGGGCTCTGCCACTGTCCCCCTGCTGGCCTTCCAAGCCTGGGAGGGGAGGGCCAAGTCACAGGGCCAAGATGGTAGCAGCATCCCCACAGATTTTGAAACAGGAAACTATTGCCAGGGCTTCAAAGACATCACAGCACTGCAGTGCGTGTGTGGCGAGGAACCAGGTGCGGGCGTGGGCCTCGCGCCACCTCCCCAGCTCCTATCATCTTCCCCACATAATTTTCTTTGGGTGGTCGTGAGGCTTGAACTCAGGGCCTGGGCGCTATCCCTGAGCCTGGATGTGCTCAAGGCTAGCACTCTACCACTTGAGCCACAGCACCACTTGCAGCTTTTTCTGTGTATGAGGTACTGAGGAATCAAACCCAGGGTTTCATGCATGCTAGGTGAGCACTCTGCCACTGAGCCACCTTCCCAGCCCACAGTGATGATTTCTGCGGACACTGTCCTGAGGTGTGTGGCTGCCTGGAACCTCGTTGGGGGGGCAGGTATGGGTGGCTGCGTGCAGGGCAGTTGGCCCCGGAAGCCAGCTGCCTCCATGAGCCAGCAGTGAGCTGACATTAATTTATTTGGTCGGTGGTGGGGCTTGAACTCTGGGCACTGTCCCTCAGCTCTTCAGCTCAAGGCCAGGGCTCTACCGCTTGAGCCACAGTGCCACTTCCGGCTTTCTGGTGGTTTATTGGAGATGAGAGTCTCAGCCTTTCCTGCCCGGGCTGGCTTTGAACCGTGATCCTCAGATCTCAGCCTCCTGAGCAGCTGGGATGACAGGCGTGAGCCACCGGTGCCCGCCCGCAGTTTTGACCTCCAGGCGGGGCCCGGGAGTGGCCGAGGCCGGG